CGCCCCCCCGGGGCTGCGCTGCCACAGACCCTGCCCGCACGCCCAGGCCCAGCCTGCGTGGCAGGACTGTCCCGTGAGGCGAGAGGTCTTCCCTAGCCCCGGGCCAGCGCTGTTATATCTTTCCTTCAGAGCAGCCCCTGGCAACAGCTACCCGGCATCGGTACCACAGCCGCCTCTGCTCTTTCTCCTTGATGCCAGGCTGCTACCACAGAAACAGAAAGAAAGGATAAAAAAAATACACGCCAGGACCAGTTTCTTCCACTGCCCCTTGGAGGAGATATTCACCCCCGATGGCCGGAGCTGGGCACCACGGAGTGTGTACGCACAGAAAGCCCCAGCGTTCCCCAGCCCTGCCGAGCCCGGAGCATCCTACCTTTGAACATGAAGCTTCCTTTGTCTCCGATCACTCTCCCAAGGGGCTGGGCTTCCCCCCAGTTTTCTAGCCTGAAGCTGCTGCAGCGCGGTGAGCCACAAAGCCCTGCTTTTACCTCTCTCTTTCTTTCTTGTCCTCCTCTCCCCCCTCTCCTTCCCCTCCTTCTCCAGTGGCTGGGGAGCGGAGATGCTGGTGCTGCTCCTGCTGCCACTGTCATGTGACCTGAATATTAAACATCGCTGCAAAATCTCCCCCCGCGCCCGCCCCCCCAGCTCCATCACGGAGCCTGCGAGAGCCTCCCCGCCTGGGCGGGCAGGGGAGTGGGGCCGCCGGGACCCCCCACACACACGGAGGCCCCCCTCCTCCTTGCACTGCACACAGGTTTTCTTGCTCCTTCCCTCCCTGTTCCCCAGCAGCTTGGCGTGCTGCTGTCTGCAGAGCATCTCTGGATGCAGCCACTTGTTTATGGAGGGAGATATTTAACCCCTTGCGGTTTTGTTGTGGTGGGGCTGGGCGATGCCGCGAGTCTTGCTCCCTCTCCCTGTAGGTATCCCCGGCATTTGCAAGGCCTCGTCCTGCTTTCCTGAAGAGAAGGTACTGGGGACAGCTCCTCAAAACCGAATCGCCCTTCAGCTCAGCTTTGGAGGCATGGGAAACCCTTTGGCAGCGCGGTTTCCGACCGCTGGCCAACGCGGAGCCGCGTGCACATGTGTGCGTGTGTGTGTGTGCCAGGCACAGGAGCAGCGCGGCGGCAGCGGGCCCGGCGGCGTGGCTCTGTGTCACGGTGCATGGATCGCGTCTCCACGCCGCCCGGGAGGCACCTGCGCCTGGCTGCGCCCGTGTGCATGTGTCAGGGTGGATGTGCCCGTGCCTGCAGAGCGCCAGCCGCCTTCCTGCCATGCACCGCGCGGTGGCTGGGGGAGCCCCTTCCTCCCTCCGCATCTCCTCCTCCTGCCATTTGCTGGCCTGATCCCTTCTTTTGCTCTGCTCTGGTGATGGGGACGGGCCCAAATCTGGTACCACGAGGAACAGTCGCTGGCTGTCCTGGTGACAAGGACACGGGGAGGGTAGGAGTGGTGCCCCTCCACTGCCCTCACTCTGCACCACTTTCTCCCAGGGGATTATCCGCAGGTTCTGGGATTATCCCATGTGCGGCTTGGCTCCCCTGGAAGCCCGTGAGCCCATTTGGGCAGTGTGACCGGCCCTCTCCCACACTGGGCCCTGGCCGAGCGCGGCAGTGCTGCGGTGCCATGTCGAGACGCGTCCCCCTGGGGCAGCACCGACTGCCAGCGCGGTTGAGCATCCAGCACATCACCCCTCAGCGGAACGACAGCTCTTTCTTTTAACACAGCCCAACTTTTCAGGGATGTCCTCACGTGGCAGTCCCACCTGCAGGAGCTTGGCTGCAGAGTGCCTCGCAAACTTATATTTTGTGGAGGGTTTTGAGCACCTGCCTCCCTTTGCAAGAGCAAAAAACAACAACAGCAACAACAGACCCTGCAGATGATAGGAGCATTTAGAAATCCCCCTCTGCACTGAAAAGCTGCCTTCAAGCCCCATCCCCCTGTGGAGCTCCCAGCAAGAACAGCTCCCATGCTGTGCCACAGCGATAGCGTCCCTGCACCCTCGCGCCCCGCATCGGACTCACGCGTCGGCCAGGCCGGGCCAGGCCAGGAGACCCACCGGTGCTGCCCAAGCTCCCTGCAGTGGTGCTCGCCGGCAGCCCAGGGCCCAGTGCCTTTGCCACTGTCTCAGCATCGCCGGGGTCATCACGCCGCGGCTGAGGGAGGATGGGGGGGAAGGGGG